TGGTGGGCGGCGGGGCCCGGGTGTGGGCCGGGGGCGGTGGGAGAGAGAGGGGGAGGGAGCCTGCTGAGGGGCTGGCCTGGGAGGCCCTGTCTGCTGGAGGGGAGGCTGTGCGAGCCCCGGGGAGGTCTGGCTGGGGGGGTTCCTCTCTCCGGGCGAAGGGGGGGCCTGGCCGCGCCACAGTGACCGGCTGTCCCGCTCTGTCCCCCGGAGGGGACCGGGTGGTCGGGAGGGCCTTCCCCCTCCGCAGGGGGAGGCGTTTTCCTGAGGTAAATATTGCTGCTTTATTTGATATTTTTTTTTCCCCTTCCCAGTGTTTTTCTTGGGAAAAAAAAAAAAAAAGAGAGAGAGAGAAGAAGTACAAACATCCAGTGCATGTTTTTCTCTACTGCACAAGCTGGTTTAGGCTTGGAGTTCACAAACATAAATAAATAAAAGCACCTGAATTCAAACTCGAAGGGGAGTGGCCTAAAATTTTTTGGCTTTTTTTAACGACATATGTAGGCTTTGAAAATGTTGCAGGTGGTGGAAGAGGTAGACATCAGGTAAACCGAAGTATAAGTTTTTTTAAAATCAAGTCTTTAAAGTTGTGTGTTGGTTCGGCTTGGTCTGAAGGCTTCACTGGAGAGTCTCACGTCGAACAGATGGAGTTGTGTCCACCTGAATCTAAGTCCTGTGTTCTACGCTGTATGACAGAATTGTTTTCTGATTCTAAATGGCCATGTTGCCCTTCAGTGAGAAAATTATGTGTTTCTGTACTCTGTTTTATGAAGGCATTTGGAGTAACTATTAGCTACTGTTTGTGTTCACCTGACCTGAGAAGCCTTTCATCATATAAGAAAAGGAGAATTAGGACCAAGGAAAACTTGTCCTTGAATTTCCAGAGCCAAGAGCTACAGCTGTATTTATCTTCTTAAGAATTGCTCTGCTTAATGAGCCTGCAAACGTTGTAAAATGTAGAATGGAGAGGAAGACAACTTGAAAAGATTAACACAAACATGCATACTGTACACAAATGTACTACAGTATACTGAGGATTCAAGAATATGCATGAATGGCATAAAGCTTCATTCTTAATGAAGAGTCACTTTTTTTTTTTCCCCTTAGAATTTGACTGACTGGAGATGTAAAACAAAATGGTTGTCTTTACCTGTCTTAATTAAATGACCATTTAAAATGTCTAGCTGACATTGAGAACAGTTTTACTGCTAGTAGTTTTCTGACTTAGTTGAATCCTAAATATGCTTTCAATCTTTTTTTAACAATGGAGTCAGTGGTGCAAATACACACATGACCCAGAGATTTTGTTATATGTTTCCTCTTTTACCACTTATACCTCTGTAGAGTTGCGTTAGAAACATGTTTCAGGTGTGTGTCAGGAGAAATTTCAAGTCTTTCATTAAGCAGGGTGGGACAGCATTAGTCAGAGGTTGAAATGTGTGTTGCACTTGTATTATTTAATGTGCTCCATTGGCTTGCAGATGGAGTACAATGCTTAGTTGTTGAATGTTTTACTAGAGGTGGTAATGGTCTTTCC